TGCCACTCAGCAATTATTTTTTTATGAGCCAATACTCCCCATCTTTCCCCTCTGTATATTTGCTTAGGGTCAAACTGTAGATACCTTGGTATTGTGTATCTATATTGTTTGGACATTCTGCCTTAAGCTAAACATGTCTTTTCCTGGGATTGCACAGCTGCTGTCTGATCACAGACGAAGATGTAGCTGTTTTCAAGAGCTATAGACAGATGCCACCAAAGCTCTCTCCCATGTATCCTTCTATCAGTATGTTCTAGTCATGGGTTTTGTCCCACCAAGTTTCTGTAATTCCAACTATATCATATCTACCTTCATGTATAAATAGTTCAGTTCACCCTGTTCGTTCCCTAAACTTTGTGCATTTATATATAGGCACTTGAGGTTTTGATGGCTGACTCTGGCTAGGCTTCCTATGTCTCCCATTTGGTATTTAAGTTTGTCTTCCTTGCCATCCCTCATCTCATTATTTGACTTGTTTTCTAGGTTTTTTTTGCTTGGAATTAGCTCCTGGAGATTGGTCACCCTCCGCCCTCAATTTTAGTTTAAAGGCCTCCTGATAAGTGGAGCCAGTCATTTTCCAAAAACATTCTTCCCAGTCTTTGTGAGGTACAGCCCATGTGTTACAAAGTCCCTTGTTGCCTTTGAATCTGACACACAGCCAAATCTGTCCGTTCCCTTCCTGGGTCCCATCCTCACCTGCACTGTCTTGCGAGGGGCTCATTTTGGAGCCACCCTTCTTTAGTTCACAGTTTGGCTTCTCGTGGACCTGTTGCTGCTCCTCCTTCCTTTCTCGCTCCTTATGTTTCTTCTTCCTGGATTTTGAGTGTGGCGCACAATTGTGTTTGCTCATCTGGGCAGGGTCTGCGGCCGACCGGCTTGCTGTCCGCCTCTCGGCCGGCTCCGACATCTCAAAGTCTTTGCCGTTGTGGTTCAGATCGTTGCTGACATCGGCAAGCGGGTCATGAGGCCTGGGTAGCTCCAGAGTGGGCAAAAGAGAGCTGGAGCTAACTGAATTAGCCGCCACCATTGTGGGCAAAGCAGTCTCCTTTCCGTTGGCAGAGTTGAGTTTGCCGTTGAAAGTGGGCTGAGTCCTTTGGGCACAGTGAGAGATCCTTGGCTTTTTGTTGGCGAGGGGGTCAATAAAGTCCAGGGGCTGGGATCGCTTCTAAGGAAATAGAAACAAGATTAGCAATCAAAACACTGTTTCAAAAGTATACCAGTTAAGAACTGGACTTATCTGAGAATAATAATTATCTATTGCCACTAGGGGGCAATGCAAGGCCACTTTTGTGTTCATTTTGCCTTTTACTGATTTTTCCTAACCAAAAACCAAAACCAGTTAATAGCCAATAATATTGCTATTCTGGTGTTATAGTGCTTTCCCTCTGTTCATACACTTCTCCTGCCCAAACGTGCCTTTCTACAGATGTCTTTCCTTTGGCACTTGGGCAAGTTTGTAACATATGGACTAGTCAGCATATACTTTTGTGTGTACATGTGTTTAAAGCAGGGTTTTTCAAAACTTGGGAACTTTTAAGATCTGTGAAGGTCTGTGGACTTTGACTTCCAGAATCCTGGCTGGCTAAGGAATTCTGGGAGTTAAAGGCCATTCGTCTTAAATTTGGCGTGTTTGAAAAAACACTGGGTATAAATTTAAAACAGGGATGTTGAAACGGAAACAAAAACTAGAACTGAAGAAGATTCTTGGAAGAACAGCAAAACATTTTCAAAGGGAAAAAAAAAACCAGAAAGTCCAGTTGCCTTTTGGAAAGCACCTTTGGGGCAATCATGACCTGGCTGAGTGAGAATCTTCATGGATAATCCCGTCACTTTCCTAGATGAAAGTGCTCAACCCTTTAGCGAAATCCTACTAGCCTGACCACGACGACTTTCAGTGTCAGTCATGGAAACTTTTCTGAGCAGGGCTGCTCAAGATCTCTCCAGAACCTTCCTAAAGACTGAGCCTGAGATGGTTGCTTTTTTTAGGCAGTGGGTGGGGGAAGGTCATCCTCCACCACCAATCCCTCCTGCAAAGAACAAGCAAGAAATCTCATGGAACATAAGAGGCAAAGCCTTTAATTCAACTCTTGACGTTAAAAAGGGTGGAGTAGATTGGTAGTTGAGGAAGGGAGCAGCTTTACTTCCCACCCAGGAGGGAGGGGCCAATAAGTAGCTCCCTTGCGGCCTCTAGCTGGAGAGGAGCTAGAACTCACCTGTGGGCAGCCAGGAATCACCAGCAGAAGCAGAGTTATGAAGGCTTGCTTACAAACCACCTTTTGACAGTATGGGAGCTAAGAGGAAGGCAGATATGGGGTAACAGTTGCAGCACACCAAGACCAGCCAGCATGGGCTTGGAAAGCCCCTTTGCACAACTGAGAGAAATTTTTACTAGAATAAGTGTGTGTGTGTATGTGTTTTAAGACAACAGCAAGACCTCCCACTGCATTTGTCTACGCACTAAGCCCTGGAATCGTCTGATCAATTTGAAAATGTTCATCCGCCTTGTATCCTGGATCTAATATGTAAGCCGTGAGAGTTTCCCACCTACCTGGGGAGGGGAGGAGGAAACGTGTGCGGTGTCCCGTGGAGGACTGGGAGCAGAATTCTCAGGGATGCAGCTGGGATTCTGTGGCTGGAAGAGTTTCCTGGGAAAAGAACAGACCAACGTTGCCTCTCAAGCAAAGCATCAATGAACAAAGCCAATGAGCCAAGAGCGAAGTTAAAACATTCTGGATCAAAGTGCCAAACATTTTTTAAACCTCAATTTAATGGTGGAAGTCATTTGTTACAGATTCTACATCTATCTATCTGTCTGTCTGTCTGTCTATCATCTATCTATCTATCTATCTATCTATCTATCTATCTATCTATCTATCTATCTATTATCACCTATCTATCTATCTATCATCATTATCTATCTATCTATCTATCTATCTATCTATCTATCTATCTATCTATCTATCTATCTATCTA